TAAAATTCCCTGATGAAGTTGGTTGCGCTTAGGATTCCACATCACTCGTGTTTTACATTCAAATTCCCTCCTTAAAAGGTGGCTATTCTTTTGCCACACATCATGTCAAAAACTTTGAAATGAAAGGCTCAACGCTGTGACTTATGTTTATTTCTTTTTTTAATCAATATTTCTGCAGTGACCTAAGAAAACCCCCAATCCATGCAGAAGCCAATTCTGCAATTATATCACGTTGTCCCGTTTGGAAATACACACACCAAAGACTGATTCTCTAAACTCTTGCAAGTCCCTCATATGTCCCTGTTTTATCATGTCCTCAGCCTTAGGAAAAAAGATGATTTCAGGAGTGTCTTCGTATATGGAGTGCATCCCTCCCTACAGGAAAGCATAGAATCACAAATGGTTTGGGTTGGAAGGGACCTTAAGGCTCACCCAGTTCCAACCCCCTGCCACAGGCAGGGACACCCTTTACTATACCACGTTGCTCTAAGCCCCGTCCAACCTGGCAATCTTATAGCACCTGCTAGAAGGTTCTATAAATGACACTGAGTCATGAATCACTGACCCATCTTAAAAGATATTTCTATAGCCCTTCTCAGGCATGAAAAAAAAACCTAAGAGGACACTTCAGGGCTGCTAAACCTTAAACAGTCTTCTCCTTTGTATTAGATAGTAAATGTAAACAGGACAAGGACATGAAAGAAACAGGTGGCCCCAACTTACACTGCTTTAGAAGGAAAACATTAAAAATGACACCCAGTAATTTGCAGCAAATCCTTACGCTGTCTGCTGTCTCACATGGGTAGCACGCAACAGAAGTGCTGTTCTGCTGCAGCAGGCCAGGAAGGAAACAAGATTGCATGCAAGATCAGTTCTTGCGGTTGTGGCAGTTAGAAAGGCAGGCAGGTTCTGTGGCAATAAGCAGAATGTGTCTGCGTAGACAGATAAATTACAAACCCACTGCATCTCACAGTGATGGGATCCAGAGGAATGAGCCTACACGCTGTCTGTGGTGCCTCTGTAATACAAGGACTAGTATTTAGAAAAGCAACCTAGGGTCTGTCTTTCACAGTGTAATGCTATTCACCGTCACTTGTGACTGAACAAAAAATATGTTTGCCATACTGATTCGTCAGACTGATCTACCTCTGTTTAGGTGGCGCTTTACGGGGGTGCCCAAAGGTGCATCATGATTCCATCACAAGAGGTGTCTTGTGAAATACTGATGTGGAGACATGCAAGTGAGAAAGACAAGTGACTCCCAACTCTGTGAAGGGGAAAGAAGAGGAACTGGGGTAGGAAATTCATTCTAAAGTTATCCCACTTTCACCCAACTCACCAGTATTATCTAAATTCAAGTGAGGATGAGGTAGGCTTTATTAGCTTACTTTTCAACAATGTTTTTTGAAGGCAGTACTCCATACGAGTGAAGATTGCTTTAAAAAAGGCTCCCTGAGGAGGATCCATACCTTTGCAGTTAATCAGCAGCAGGCTGACCCTCTGGCCCATCTCTGCACCTGGCTTCTCCCATTTTTTACTGGGATGTAGGCTTTAGACCTGCCCTCTGCACACAGGTGAGTCACCCTTTTGAACGAAAGTTAAGTTTGGTTTCTAAGTCCCTTGCTGAACAAGCAAGCATCCTTACTTAGAGTTCATTTCAGACTTTCTTTTGATGAATGAAAGAAACATTAACTAGAAAATGAACCACAAGGGAGCTTCAGGGAAGTACCCAGTAACTATAAACTTGTATCCACTGGTGAGTCTAATGACCTACTGCTGCAAAACAAAACATCCTTAATTGGCTGGATGACTATAAGACAGTTTTACAGTAAAACAAACCCCACGTACTGGCACACTAGGGTACAGCTAGACAGGCAGCATTTAGACATACATTGACAGTGCCTAAACAAAGCCAAAACAGTGAATCATTTGTAGATCCAAAAAGTGAAATGAACCCAACATACTTTTTGCTGTGAGGCTTGTATCATTGACAGCTGTAGTCCAGAGAACCCACCTGAAGACTTTTCTCTCCCTTGCTGTGCTGTTGTCAGCTGAGATCATTCTGCCTTGGATGCAGGGCTCAGCTCAGCCTAGAAAATTGATCTTACAGGCTCAGGCTGAAAGATGCTGAAAGCAGTCTCTCTGAGCTGGCTCCGGTGAGGGTGCTGCCAGCAATCTGCAGCAGCAGCAGCCCCGAAACAGATGCTTATTATAAAAAAAGTAAGTTGATAAAAAGTGATGAATAGAAACTCACACTTAACACCCAATCACTGCAGAACATACCCAGTTTGTTACTGTCTGCTCTGGGTAAAATGAAAGCGTGGGGTCCTGATTCGTGTGATGAAATGTGGTCACTGAAAATGATCTAAACTTTTTTTCCACCAGATTAACCCAGGGGAAATAAAAAACACCAAACATAAAAAAAAAGCCTTTTCAGTACATGGTGCCAAAAGCCGCTGACTGCAAGTAAATTTAGATTTAAAGCTAAAATTCTGCTGTAACCACACCATTTATACGCTGCAACACAGAACTAGCATATGGGCACTAAAGCTGTCCTCACCCTAACACAATTGCCTGAGGCAAGGCTTTCAGTTACAAAACTTACAGGCTCTGGGAAAGAGGTGGAATATGACTTGTTGCATCCTCCTCTGTCCTGGGTTGCTCTGAGAGTCTGAAGGACTTCAGGCCCAAACTTAGCAGACCTGGAACCTGTTTGATGTACAGAGCCTCCACTGCCTATGAGCCATATGCTGATTTCCCACTGCCAGCCTACACAGCCTTAACTTCAGCTGTGCCTTTGGCATCACTTACAAGGCAGCCAACTGAGACTTTTCCCTAATATTCTAAAAAATGCTTGGGGGTTTTCCAATAGATGCACTTAAATTTATGCCAGGTTCTATTTGACTTGACAAATCCTGTTTTACTGTAAATTTACAGACATTTTTTGCCAATGGGAAATAAATTTTTTTAAGTATTTCATTTTAGTATAAAGGGCAGGTTATAACATGAACTGTGCATGGTGAATCTTCCCCCCCCCCACCAAAAAGTAGTTTTACATGGTTAGATCTCCTGTTTGGGATATTAAAACTAGCTTAAACTATGCCTATTTCTGAAAACATAAATGGCCATCTTCTCATTTGTGGACTTGTTTTGATCCAAAGATCATTATTTTTCTTTTTTTCTCCTCAAGGAAAACACCAAACTAGTGACATTCTCATCAGCGTTCAATGCACAAATTTGTCTGGTAGAGAATATATGAAAATGGATTTTATCCATCCACTTGTTCATCCAAATCCCTCTTTCTGTCGAGTAAGCAGGTTTAATAAAATGTTTGATGCTTCTTGAAGCTGTCAGTCTGGCAAAACCTTTGTAACGCTTGCTGGAAGCATGCAGACAAAATTGAAAGAAGGATGTGTGTAAGGCATACATAAAGCTTCCACTGCCTCTGCTTTACTTGCACTCTAACAAAAATCAGGTCCTTTGAGGTCAGGAAAGGTTCCTTGATGATGGGTTCATTTCTTCAATTCAAACTTTGCAAAAACACTGTGCAGCCACATGTTTGACCTATGTGAAGATCCATGTCAGTCTGGTCCTTTAAAAACAGGAAGATGAGCAAGAAGATAAATATTCTTGAAACCTTGACGCTGCTAACCTTACTCCAAATGGGTGAGATGGGGAAGACAAAAAGTACAGTGTGCTGTACAAAAGACACTGTTACTCATCTTTGCTAGATTTGCTCTTTGCCTCCCATTTCTCATCGTCACAGCTACTTGCCCTCAGCGTGGTGTTGGTGGATGCCACATGCAGCACAGCATAGTAATAATGAGAAATAAGCTACCATGGGAAAATGGTTCAAAATGAGGTGGGCAATGTAGAGGCGGGGGAATGTAGACTTGGAGGTGGGGGAGTTCACAGGAAAAGGCCAATTCTTTTTTCCTTCTCAGAGCTGTGAAACTTTCAAGTACCAAAGTCCTGGGGGTGTTGAAGGGACTTTCCCAGTAATAGCACAGAAATTTCACTTTCCCTTTACTTGTTCTCTCAGCATCTCTGTCCTCCCTCTGCCCCCAGTCCTCTGGAGCTCCCACCTCCAAAACACCTTTGCACAATTCTTGCTCCCCCATAAGGAACAAGAGTTTTCACAGAATCACAGGATCACAGAACAGCTTGAGTTGAAAGGCACCTTTAAGCTCATCCAGTTCTTCCATGGGCAAAGACACCATCCACCAGACCAGGTTGCTCCAAGCCCCGTCCAACCTGGCCTTGAACACTGCCAGGGATGGGGCAGCCACAGCTTCTTTGGGCAACCTCTGCCAGGCCCTCACCACCCACACGGGGAACAATTTCTTCCTATATATAATCTAAATCTCCCCTTTGTAACCACTCCCACACAGCTGAAACTGCACCCAAAGTAACAGCCCAGCACTGTGCTTTTCCTGCCCACCTTTTTGTCCTTTTCTGCTCTGTGGAGGAAAACTAGTCAGCACCTGTGTTTATCGAAAGGGTTTGTATTTGGCTAATGAAATCTCTTGCAACCAGGGAACTCAGAACCTTGGACTGTTTAATAAGGCTAAGAAATAACTATTGGCTAGTGGCCTAATATAGTATATAAAATAAACAGATTAACTATCTGCTTACAAAATATTCTGGTGTCTGTGTATGCTGAGGCAGAACACAGTTGTCCGAGGATTTAATTTTTTCTTGAATTCCATGGAAAAAGTAATTAGGACCAGCCCTAACCAGAATGATTTACTGACCTCTGTACCTGCCGAGCGTTGTTTCTGTGTTCTAAAGAGACGCTTGGCAATTGACTCCTAATAATATTCCAGGCAACTTGCTTCAAACTACGTAAAACAGAAGATGTTGCTGTAGTTGCCAAAGGACACATAAAGTCATCCTTCCTATCCATTCCTATCCCATGTAAAACATTGTGCAGAAATATAAGTTGTGGAACTGATGTTGTGGAAAGGGTTTAAAACAACCACACAGGTAGACATGACAGCTGCATGTCCTTTCTTTGCTTTAATCAAACATTCCTTGTAAGATCATCAACAAAATGCAGGTGAAAAACACACCCTGTGTTGTTAGATGAAAATATTACATTCTCATGATAGATACAATCCCACTTTTTATTCTGCTTACTGCTTTAGACAGTATTTCAGTGAAGGGTGGTCTGGATTATATTTGTTCAAAACTGTTCAAGACAAAGGAGTAACACAAGTTGATCACAGTGTCCGTTCTGGGTGCAGCCTGGTCTCTCCCACTAATAACTCCAGTCTTACCTTTTACCCTCAATGTGGAATCAAGTTTATTTTTGGAAGCTTATTTTACAGTTCAATGTGGTTTTAGCAATACTATTTCTAGTTACAATTTAGAGAAGATATTTCTTTCATTCTGATTAATCTATTAAATAAATATGCAAACATATCAAGTGCTCTCTATAAAAAAAAACACATACACACAACAAACAACCCCTCAAATAATAAAACCAAGATTAATAAAAATAGGTACTATTTTACACATCTAGTTTTGAAACTATAATGAAAGATTTACACATGAATCAGATGATAATCTAAAAAGAATCAGCATATATAGAATAACGGCATTGCCTCTGTAAAGACAACTTGAGCATCTCCTATTTAAAAATATAAAAAGAAGCCAACCAGTGTTGTCCATGTATTTATAGCCAATGAACGTTAGATAAATTAGAAAGGAGTTTGTGGATTTCACCATTAAACATCTGAACAGGGAGACAAAATACATGCCACATCTTTCTTTTCTCTTTTATAAAGAAAAAGATAGCCTTCAAGACAATGAAATCTCTCCTTTTGATTGAGACCTATATTCAATTAGGATTTAAAGAAAGGAATAATTCTTATTCTGGATCTCCATACTTAGTGAAATGAGTACCTAACACCAGTTTAAACACAGCCTTCGAAAGATCATTTTGACTTATAATGACAAATAGAAAAGCTTGCTTAAAAACATTTCAGGAAATAAAAAAAAATCAATGCACAGAGTCAACAAACTTCCCACTACACAATTCAGTATGAAAACATGTGAAAGAACTGAGAAGTTTTACAGTGGACCACAAGTACTGATGTAAAATCACATTGACCCCATTAGCTTGGACCATGAGCTGTGTGACTGTACGTAGGTGAAATATGTTGACCTACATAAAGTCCAAAACCATCCTATGTGTACTTTAAAGTCACACGTTGTCTTGGGATGTTTGCTCAGGCATAAACTGCCCCTGAGATCTGCCTGCAGATACTAAGGCACTGAGCAACTCAATGAAACGCATGGGAAAATGCTGGAGAGATGTGAGTGAGGAATATGATCAACAGTCTTGTGCTTTATATTCTAGTAAAGATAATTGCTAGCTAACGCTAGTATTTAGCCAGCTGAATGCTTGCCTTCTAAATTGCTTTAGACAGAGAACATAAAATAACATGCCTTAGCAGAACATTTTCGAAGACGGATACTGTGGTCAGGGAACAGGAACATCTGACCAGCCCTGCTAAAACCGACACAGACCGCTGGTTGCAATTACCGTGGACGGTTTTTACTTGCATTTTCTAGAGGCAGCCCTATTAGAAGTTATCATTCTCCCTCTGTTCCAATACACTTTCTTAAAAATGGTACTTGTTTTATTCTTATTTACTGGCAGTAAATAATTTTCTTTCTGACAACTCATACAAATATAATGCACAGCATCATAGCTTAATACAAATACTTTACATAACAGACACATAAGGACAAACAAAAGCATATAACAATGCAGCTGCAGTTACTTAACTATATTACATGGCTAGGAGAGTTTCCTTTTATTTTCTTTGATGTTTTCTGTTGAATTTGAACTTCTGGTACCAATAAGCAAGTAATGTTTCTTTTGGTATCTTTAAAAAGCAGAGGGAAAACCATGGATGAAATAGAATTCAGACAAACTGAGCAAGATCATAAAAAGGCAACTTTTAAAATCCCAGCAAACTAGTGTAACATAATAGTTACAGGGGAAACAAGTTTTACAAGGCTCAGCATCTCCTAAGTAAAACAGCAGAAGAAGATGTAGACCTATTCTTCAGGAATAAATACTGTCATCTTCCCTAACGATCTTCAATAGCTTGATTTGTGCATGTGTGATAGAGCTGGGGTCATTCTGTTTTATTCATTGTCCTAACAGACTCATTGAAAACATGCACAAACTGTGACCAATGAAGAAGGGAGGAAGAAGATCAATGAATCCTTGAAAAACTCAAGGATAACTGTACAGATTGTTAGGATAATAAAATACAAAAGTTTATTATGTATTCTCTCATGTTTTCATCTGCGTATTCCACCTCCTGAGAGCACTTGCTCTATGGCCATAGACATTTAGAAGAGAGATAAATAGATTCTGTCCTTCTGGGTTTTCCTCATTGCAGACCCAGCCATAAATCATCATAAAATGTCACTTTTTGTTTATGTTCTGAATGCGCCCACTGCTCTTCCTGGCTGGAAGGCATTTCTGAAGGATTCCTATGGTTTAGACATTGTATAGAAGGACTTTTTGGTATAAAACTTGATATTTGCTGTTAACATTTGTTCTTTACTTACTCTTGTACCATGGCAAGTTTAGTAACTTTAAATGCCTGTAAGATGGAGGGACTGGACACTTGTGTACCTCTGCACAGTGAAGACCCTCCATCTGGGGAACAATGACATAAACTCTGTGCAGGAACTGGGAACTGAAAAATCTTGGGGGCTTTTTTCAGGAAGCAAATGTAATTTTTTTAACTCAGACAATTTTAAACTGATTAAAAATGAATAAAACTTAATTATGTTCAAAACACATCAATCAGTAGCACAGTGCATCTCTGAATTCATGTCCAAGTTCCATGTGATCAATTGTAATTTCCCCAGCTCTGATCTACTCAGCAACTTGGTACCATTACACACCACTGTTCATGTCAAGCTCCTGGTGATTTTGTGTTTCATTAACCGTCAGGAATTCATCACATGCTCCTGTTTGGTCATTTGACTGTTCTTTATGAACCAAGTGCACCATTTCTTGTAATTTGCTGGCATCTCCATTTAATCCACTTGTCTTCCTGTCCTCCACTGCCCCTTTGCCATTGTTAATCACCAGCTTTTTCTTCTGCCCACATCTAGAAAGAAATAAAAAGAAGTACTCTTAATGGAGATTAACAGAAATAAGTTAAAAAATGAAAGTCAGTATTTATGAGAAGATGTTTGGAAATGAAACCTGTGTCTGTCAGTGTGGACTGAACACAATACTAAGTGTAAAGTTCCTCCATATTGCATATTTCATTTTTGAAAGCATCCACCATGATATGCAAAAAATTTGGCAGGAGCTAACTTATTTGATTTGTATCTACCATTACTACAGATAGGAATAACATTCATTACTGGCAATTAGAAAAGATTTTCTATCCTTTAGACATATCCACATTTATGAACTTCGTATATACCCCACTATAAGAATGACCCACGGGGTCATTCTAAATCTAGACTTCAGACCACACCTTTGAAAATGCTCAAGTTCTTGAGATAGCCATAAATTTGGATTAAGCTCTCACTATACAAGGTAACTTTTCCCTTCTTTGTATTAACATGTCAGGCCTGGAAGCTTGTCAACAGCAAGGAAATAGAGATTACCACTCTTACTGCTATCAACAGCGTAGTTCTTTATGAAATTAAGGTAAGAAATAACTACTGCACTTTTAAAGTTACACTTGCTACAGAGCTGCCCAATAAACTTGGTATGTCGCTTTGAATAAACACACACACACGCACTCATGTGTTTCGGATTAGCTGGCATTCATGTGCAGTACACTGATGGCGCAGTAACTACTCGTCTATGAATTTGAAATGCATTACCAGAGAGCGTATGGAAAGGATTCTTGACTTGTTCATGTTAGCATTTGGATCCTACTAGAATTGGGAAGAAAAAAAAAAAAACAAACAAAACAAAACCCTTTTTTCATACCAGATTACACTCTAGCTTCAAATATTTCCTCACACTGATTAATACCTATTACTAGGGTCTAATTCATGCATTCATATGCATACATGTGAACACATCCACTCCACTTTTTCTCTTTGCAACTCATTGTCAGCTGCATGGAAGCTCTAAGTAAAAGATATGTTTTCCATTAACAGTGCATAGGGCATAATTTACAGCGCTGAGATTGTTTAATTTCTTGTCAGATGCAATCTGTAATTAGCTATAGTGGCCCTGTTTGCTCCTATGGTGATTCTGGGTTAAAAGGCAGAAAACAATGGCAGTCTCCACTTTTAAAGGCACAACAGAGTAACATATAAATCAATAAGCCATGCAGTTCAGTCCATGTAACTCCAAAATCACTTCACTGAAAGAAAGTTGTAGAGTTTTCTGTCTCCCTATATGCTTGACAGCTTTCTCATTTCAACAGGTCTTTAATAATACTGTCAGAGAAGCACTGATATCATAGATAACAGTCATGTGCCAAACATAGCAGGTGGCATCTCAGTACTGGCTTCAGCAAAACTATAATCAGTTTTCTCTGTCTGACAATTTGGCATTTTGTTTGCAATATTTTGTCTCATAGAAGCCTTCTGCATTATGAGCAGGGACTGCCTGGGTTGCTCCCTCACCACAATGGCAGTGATTTATTCGAGCTCCCATGTCACGCTTTGGAGGACCTTGACACTGTTACAGAAGCATGAACATGTGCTTTCCTGCAACGAGCAGACTAGGAATAAATTTGCTCACTGCTTCCTGAGCAAATACCTCCACATATTATGCAGTACATAATATACATACTATTCATTAGTTCAAATTCTGCATTCAAATAGAAAACAGATACTCTGTTAAAGGGTTCAACTTTAACATTCAAGATGCAAAAAAACCTGTTCAGGATAATTGAGAAGTAACCTCAGAACAGCCCCCAGAGAAGAGTGAGTGACAAACATTAGAGCTTATCCTTCCGAGTATTTTCAAACTTCATGGCTAACTTTGCACAGGTCATTGTAACTTTCTATTCCTCAGTTTTTTCACCTGTAAAGTGAAATAAATCTGTAAAGCTATCGAGTGCTCTGCTTTATGTCTCTGTGACTGCCAGCTGTGATACTGCCTTTTGTTTGGAAGGAACAATTTAATCCTGTGACAGCTATTGTCTAATGCAGCCCTTCGCTTTGTACATAGACAACACTGCTAATGGTGGAGGATTATACTCTGCTTATCCTGTGGTTGCTGCTGTGTCTGTCTCACAGTTTTCACTCTCAGTGGATGGGATTTTCCTATTAAGAAGTAATGACTAGAGAATAATTAATTCTCTGTGATCTATATACAGTTAGTTTCCATCTACAAGTAAAGACCAAGTGTTTTACACAGGTACTGACTTTGTGTGGTTCCACCTAAGTGTGAAGGATGATGTGTGACCTGTGAGATACACAGTGGCCTGGGCCCTCACACCCTAAGTCACAGAGCTTTGCAGAAGAAGCTATTTCCTGCTTTATGCTACTTGGCTCTTTTGTGAAGGTTTGAAGCCTCTCAATGAAGAAAACAGGAAGGCAGTGTGTTCTGAAAAAGTAAAGGGGCTACCTTACCTTCTCCGACTGTTGACAGCAATACACACTGCAAGAATCAATGCAAGTGCCACAAGGGAAGCAACTACAATCAGCCATTCTGTGGGCAGAGTTGAGGGAGAGAAGGAGAGCGTGTTAGTATCTCATGTAGTTTTGCCGTTTTGCCATTTTGCAGAACTGCAAGAACCACCCATGGCAAGAACTGCTCATGGCACAGGGTTTGATATATATAATCTTTAAGGTCCCTTCTGACCCAAACCATTCTGTGGATCTGTAACACAAGCTTTTGTTATGTTCTTTAAACTTCAGCCTTTTTCCCCTAGCTTGCATGAACATTTGTTCATTTGACAAACTGCTTCTGTGCAAATCCAATATATTTTCATCATTCATCTATGATGCCAACTCAGATGATATACCCCTTCACTATTAACACCTACAAGCACTGTACTTCAGTGAGCATAGGTGAAGATAAGCCGTATCACAGATTTACTCCAAGAGCAAAAGAAAAGGCTTAGCAATGATACACCTTCAATCCCAGGCACAAAAGCAGGATGGCTTTTGTGTAGAGTGAAATGTTCATTTCTCTTACCTCCTCCTCACCCACCCCCCTCCCCCCCCCCCCCCAAATAAAATCTTACTTTAAGGGGTAACTATGAGGTAAATTCTAGAAGAAAATATTATTATTATATATAAAAATATTTCTAAATACAAAATTAGGAGGGAACCTAAGAGAGCGTATCAGCTACATTTAACTGCAGTGAAACTGGGTCAGTAAGAAGTAAAGTAGATTTCCTTTTTAGTAAAGGGGATTTCACCACCTCTGCTGTAGCCTGTTCTTTTTGCTGTACTATGGTTATAAAGATCGTCTCCTAAGAGCTGTTCTGTTTGATTGAAATAAATCTCTATTGTTTAACAAGTCTCCTACATTTCATTTGAAGCAAATTACTACTTCTAGGTAGCTAAGTATGATTACTCCACAGGGAAAAACTAATAACCATTCTTTGTGCAGCATACTATTCTCAAATCTTCCTTCGACTTTCACTGAAAATAATGAGTTCTTCCAAAGGTGCTTCAAGGGTTCCCTTTTCAAAATTTTCTTTGTGATCTTCTTCAGGTTTTGGGTTCTTTTTTTTAATATGTGATTAATGTAATGCCTTGAACTGAACACAGAGCTTCAGCTCTGGATATTTTAGGCCTAAGTAGAGTGGGATAATTACTTTCTCTGTTTTAAAAATTGTTAATGTTCCAGAACATATTTGCATTCTTTTGCAGTTGTATCATGGTTTTGGCTTCTTTGCTTATATCTTTACTGAATTTTGCCTGATTTTATATCAATTTATAAAGTTTATTTGGATATTAATCCCATTCTCCAAATGCTTGATTCCTCTCATCTTGTATTGCTGGAAAATTATACGAATTACAATAAGCTCCATTTTTTAGACTACTAGTGAGAATGCTGAATGTCACCTGGTTGAGAATAAAGCCTGAACAACTGTAATTGACCTACATATTCATCTCCTACTTCAGTTCATATTAATATAATTCTGTAAACTATTAAAACGTGTGACTTCAAAAACCCACCTGGTACCTGGGCCGACCTTGGCTGTGGAGATATTTTTGTTGTTGTGATCTCTGCAGGGAAAGTAGTGGATTCATAATGTCCCTTGTGTGGTCCTTGATTACCATATATACTAGGGGTAGAACCTAAAGAATGAGACCACCCATTAGGCCAAATATGCTTAGGGTATATCTAACAGCGAGGCACAAAGACTATGACTTTCACAATTAAAAATAGATATTCTAGAAAGTTCATGATGAGGTAATTAAAAAGTATTTATACCGAAAACTGTTACATACATTGTAATCATCTGAAATAAGGCTAGTTTCAGTATTTTGAATAACAAAACTCATGGGTTTTCCCTTTTGTCTCTCTCATACGTATCCGTTTTGGTTATGCCATTTTGTGAGCCAAAATGTAATTAGAATTGCCTGGAAATGTTCTTAAGAAAATGTAAAGATGTGAATGTTGGCAACTTTTTGAAGAGGCTTTTGTCATATAAGTCAAATATCTTGCTTGTTCTATGGAAAAAAAAAAAGAATGAGAACGAAGAGAGACCGGAAAAGAACTTTACTTTTTTATTTAAACCTAAAATGACCACTATTGAGAAATTTTTAAACTTTGGATTTTATTCCTACACAGGATAAAACAATTTCATAAAACAGAAGGTTAGTTTTCTGAATGGGTTTAAATTTGATAGATACATAGAGAGTGGGACCTTAAAAATTTAAACTATTTTTTCTGATAGAAAAAAAAATGCTCTCTTGAAAGTTGGAGGTGGATCCCCTTATCCTTTCTAATAAGTTGTGTAATTTGCTTCTAAGACATTTGAATCAAAATGTGTATTTCCAGTTTCAAGCATTTGCTATGCAATTGCATTTCTGGCCCATGCCGTTACTGTATGGCTATCCCAAGTCTAAAACTATGAGCAGTTACAGATATTGGGATTTCATCTGGGACAACTACTTCATTATTGCTACAAAAAAAGATATTACAGATCTCCACCTCTCTGATTTCTTCCAGACTGTAACAGAGCAAATTATGCAGTTATTCTAATCAGCTGTAAAGTTCTTTTTCTGTAACACATATTGCAATACATTTCTGATCTCATTTCCTAATAGCAGTTGGCAAACACAAAACTGAAAAGTACATTTTTTTTTCCCTGTGAAGTTTAGCCAGTTCATGAATCTTCCAGATGTTCTCATTATTTTTATTAACAAAAAACTTCTTGACTGGTGAGTTGTTTTGTGCAATCTCACCACAAAGGACAGAGCACAAATTCAGCAACTAAGGGTCCGGATCTAGCCCCCAGGAAAGCCGACCAAGAAGAACGTACTTGTCTATGCCACACCTCAGCAGATTTTGTTTTAAGGTACTTTATATCAACTTTGAGAAATGACAGAGCTTTTCTACCATAAAGCCCCTTAGAAAAGCACTCAGCTATTTATTAATAGAAACCTGCTACTTCACCCCTCCCCTGAGCACTGAAAAGAAGCAGGATTCAGTCATGTCTCCTGCTGTTCTGGCTTCAGGGAGGTGCTTGCAAGTGGAAGGGAGGGATCCTCAAAGGCTTTCTGCATTTCATTCTGATGACATACTAGATTTTTTTCTTTTTAACAGTAATTCTTTTTGTTTTCTTCAGTGGGTTGATTTGTTATTCCATGGACACTTGGACAACATATCAGTCATTAGTGTGATGTCAGACCACAGCTTAAACTTTGCTGTAGAGAAAAAGCAAGTGAAAGAAAGTATCATAGCACTTCAAGCCATTCATTTGTTCAGAGAAGGCCTTTAACAATACATCTGCTGATACATTCATGAATCTTTTCCGTTCCATTACAGATATATGGGACAGCATTACAAATGAGTGAGCCCTTCAGTAAATAAACTCTTTTCTGAGGACGGTAGTGTCCAAGTAATTCCCCTGTATTGTGCTTTTGAAAGCAACAGTAGATGATAAATGAAAAGCAATATGGCCTTATGAGCCTTTGCCAGGACACTGATAGTGTAAAGATTTCACACAGACATGGACTTAGAAAATTATCTTCCAAAGTATTCTTACAGGTTTTAAGTGCTCAGAACAGAAAGCTAGAAATATTTTTTTTATAGCATATAATGTCAGCAAATAAAATTGAGGTACCTTTTATTCATTAAGTGAACAGGGATGCAAAACACAAGAACTGAGTTTGTTGTAATGGGAAACCAAAATTACATTCATCTTTCCAATAAAATTCTATCAAATACATGCTTTGCGTTTATATTGCTGTACCTACGTCAAAGTACTGTAACACAGGCAATTTTGATAGGGTTGGTTTTACTGGGTTTATATAAGATTCTGAAAAAAAAGTCAAATTCTGACTATGAATTAACGTTAATTAATTAATAAAAGAATTATCTTGAAAAAATATAAGTACCTAACCTTGCTTATGGGCAAAGAATGTGCACAGACCATTGGCCAAAATCTACCCTGAGATCCTTCCACTGACTTTCTTGAACGTGCATGAGAATAGTATTTAGATTATTGTGCATGAGAAGTAGCATTTTGAAAAAAGCTATCTGAAGATGATTATTTGGGTGGAAGCTGCATTTGGGAATAAGTCCCTTCATTTTCTGTACTTATTAACATGTGACAACACACACAAAGAAAGAAATATTGTATGTAGTAGAATCAGTAAACACTGTTACTGTTGACAACACTAACTACCTGAAGAAAATAACCCTTTAAAGAAAAAGGAGTTGTTCCCAAATAAAACGTCAGTTACAGCCCAGTAACACCACTATAATTATAATCACTGGCAAGATACCAACAGCAAATGCACCTAGGAGAAAAAAAAAGAAAAAAGAAAAAAAGAAAAGGTTTCACAGATAATTACTTTTTTTTTTTTTTTTGGATACATGTTCAGTTAATGCAGAGGGAATACAAATGGGGAAAAAGTGACAGACAGTTAATTTAATTTTAACATAGTTACCATTTGTGCTCGTCAGAAAAGAAAGACAAACTGCAATCACACAGGTATGGGAATGAGGAGAAAATTTACACTTTCTCGCTATAATAGTTACGTTAACACATACAGAGAACTGAATAAGAAAAAGTTGTATGCAAACCACTATTTTAAAGGGGTTAGTAAATAACCTCTGCTTTGTAAAGAAAGAGATTCCCTTTAAAGCCATCTTACAATATGGCTGTAGTGAAAAATGAAAACAAACAAAAAAAACAAGGCACCAAAAAAGGAAATAATATTATAACAATTCACAATTATAGTTAGTACACATTTTTTTCGACAATTGCCACTGTCCAAAATAACAACTAAATGACTGATAAATGAAAATACTTGTAATTTATAGTTCTTACTAGTAGGAAGAGGGGTCTGTAATTCATTAAGATGATCTTCAATGTCTGGGAAAACTCCAGGTATCCAACTGACATGGGAACCATGTGTGGTGTTTGCTTGTTCATTGTCACTTCCAGGTGGAGACCCAGGTACCAGTGGCTCCTTGGTTGTTTTTTCTTGTTGAACATCATCCATGGACTGTGTGACTGCCATGATGATGGCATGATCAGCTTTAAAAGTGAGCACTCACAAAACCACCACCCATGTTATTTCCCTTTCCTGTACCACAGTGAGCCAGAAAGCATGTCCATCCTCCTTATTCAAAGCACCGAAGGAGAGAAGACATGAAGACCTCCCCTTCTTCAACAGTCACTGGCTTCTGAAAGACCCTCAAACACCATATACATGCTCACCACATTGGAGGGAGATGTTGACTACACATACAGATTCCAGTGACAGACAGAGAGGGAAGACCTTCAGAAGAAGTGACCAGCAGCAAAACCTGACCCTGTGACTCAGGAGTGAGCAGCCATACTGTAGCCAGATGTGTGGTCATCTTGCCTGGCAATCTACTGGTGAGGAGGAGTAAAGAATTGATGGCAGAATTTATGGGACATAATTCTTCTGTGATTGCCTTGCCCTCACCACCGGGACTCCTCAGTGATGGTACTGCTGCTGAGCCACAGGAGCAAGGCATCTGCTTAACCCACCATAGCACCTCCACCACACCAAAGATGGTGCCAAAGCATATCAAGCCTGAACCCACTGATGTGCAAAAAAGAAAGATGGGACTGGGGATTCAGACCACCAAAGCACAAAGTGAAACATGCTTCAGCAAAAGACATAAACCACCAAGTGTACCAGCAAGAAGATCATTCTATCAACAGCATAGATCCCACCACTGATTTTTGCACTGTAAGTCCACAGCAAGAATGCAGACCCCCAGGATAAGAAAGACAGGGAAAGGAACCAATTTCAGAAGAAATAATGACTCATTTCATGCCAGGCATGAGAAATGAGTATGATCCATTATTCTTACTGGTACCAGTCAGAGGAGCGTCATCACCAGCTTTGTTCGTACTAGCTGTGGTCCTGTGGAGGACCTCATCCCCAGGGACGTCTGTGGGATGTGTGATGCCTTCGGTGCCCTGTTCTGGTTCATTATCTGAGGGCAGAGGTGAATGAGTTTGGTCTTCGTGATGGGCACCATCAGGAGAGGCAGTAGCTGTTACCACAATGTGAGGTGCCCAGACTTCTTGGGTTATATCTTCCGGTTTCAGAACACCCATGGAGGCTGTGACTGTTGCAATGATGGCTAAGTTAACTTCAAAGACATTTATAAAACCTCACCTTATGTACTTTTCCCTCTCTATTTTATCTAGCAAACTCTACTTTTAATTTGTTAGCCAATGTAAAATATACATAAAAAATACTCCAAACCAACCAACCAAAAACCACCCCAAAACCAAACAGCAAACAACAAAAAAGCCACAAGTAAACGAGATCATCTATATATGTCACATTATTTTTGGGTGTCTCTTCCTTCATTAATACCCTACTGGTCACATTAGTATAATAGTTGCTTATTCATTTCTTAAGTTTCAGTGTGGATTAAGCATATAAAGCAAAAAGAGATAGCAGCAACTTCAACTATTTGACCTTGAAAATACTGCCATGTTAAAAAATGGGATATTTTAAGTTTAGTTAAGCATCTCTCTTTTCCCATGAGATGATCATAAAAATATGTGCTGGTCTCCCAGGAGAAGAACTGAAAACTTATTCAAATAGAAAATTAGGACCTGGAATTATTTAATGGACATCTTTCACACATCATTCTGGCAGTGCTAAGACTGCTACCAATGCAAAAAAGTAAGCATGTCACAAAAGCAGGCTAAGAAGTTGGAATAACTTAACTAAATGCATTGTCAGAATTTCCAAGTGTTCAAAAATATTAACTGAATAATAAAGGTTAATATTTATTTAAAATTACGCCACCAAAAGTTAACATTAATAAGCAAACCAAAAGATGCGTTTCCAAACAGTGGCCTAAAGTGTTAGTTGAAAATACCTACTAATCACTATTTAGATGAGAGAGAAAAAAATAATATGATTTTCAGAATAAAATGAGTATAAGGATTCCCATCATTACATAGGAATAAGATTCAAATTGATGGAAAATATTTGAATTAATTGCAAAATTGTAGCTGGGTTTTCATATTTACAATTGGTCTGTCAAGTGACATAAAACTTGCAGGACTGAGGAAAATTAAGTGCGAAGCTTTGCAGGATCTCTTCCACACTTAGAAAACAGGAGTAGGGAGTAAAGAGCTATATTTCAAACCACACAGCTTTTGGTTTTTATAGCTCTTCAGCAAACCCTAAATGTTGCAAATTAAATAATCCTGATAAAACTGGATTTTGAAGAAGAAAAGGGAAAGCATAAATACTAATTTTCCTTTAGATTCTTTTTTTTTTTTTTAGAAAATGCAAGAAAGATGCAAAAAGTTCCAAAGTACTAAAATGTCATTAAAATTCATTATTAAATAATAAAAGTATTAGAATAAAAAAGCAATATTTTGATTTGGGAAAATTTTAATTGGATAACATGCAAAGCTTGGGAATCAGGGTTAGAACCATGCTGAACTACATGCACAAACTGCTGTAAGTTATGCCAGAGTTCAAAGTAATAAGAGAATCTGTGGCAACACCAAGATCAGGAAAAATTAGACATGAAAAACTGTTTTTATGTCTATGAATCACTTACAGCACCAGCCATTGCCACAAAGCAATTGCTTTCTCAGTATCATGTTCTACTAAAAATAAACGTGAGAATAGCTGGGGGACATAAGAAACAGGACACCCAGGGGAATAAAGAAAATCCTTAAGCAAGTAGAAATTCTTGTTGAGATGTTCACATGCAACAAAATCATAAAAATGATTTTTGCACTGTAAGTCCACAGCAAGAATGTAGAAGCCCAGGATGAGAAAGATAGGGAAAGAAGCCAATTTCAGAAGAAATAATGCCTCATTTCACACCAGGCATGAGAAATGAGTATGATCCATTATTCTTACTGGTACCAGTCAGAGGAGCGTCATCACCAGCTTTGTTCATACTAGCTGTGGTCCTGTGGAGGACCTTATCCCCAGGGACATCTGTGGGATGTGTGATGCCTTCGGTGCCCTGTTCTGGTTCATTATCTGAGGGCAGAGGTGAATGAGTTTGGTCTTCGTGGTGGGCATCATCAGGATAGACAACAGCTGTGATCAGGGTAATTTTGTCAGCTGTGAATTACATATGTGTACTTCTGTGCCCTCCCATTCCCATCAAGTCCTAGTCTCCTGTTCACTTTAAACCACAGCTACCCTTTCCTCACCACAAAGCAAGGGAGACCTTCTGTCCTCCCATACATTACTGCTTCTCTCCCAGTTTATCTATCAGACATTTTTATTTGCTATTCTCATCTACTGAAATAATTAAATTACCTTTCCTCTTATTTCAGGAGTAAGTCGTGTTTCTCATATCATGTTTTTAGAACATTATTTTGATGTCCTAGATGGCATGCGTTATATAAGACTGCATCATGATATTGTGTCATGCCAGTTTTATAAATTACTTGCATAATCCTATGCACCAGAGGGACAAATGTTTCAACAAAATGCATGAAAAGAACATTCTTTCCCTGGATTAATATTCACAAATTAAAAGCATTAACCTGTAGATGTACAAATATGCATAAATATGTATAGTAAAGAAGGTTGCGTTACACCAAATAACGTAACGTATGTAATGAGATACACGCAATTCCAAATTCAATACAGTCAGGCTTTGCTAAGGAACAGGAAGTACTGAAAATGGTCTCCGTAACTAAAAATAATAAACATTGTATATAGAGCTAAAATTGAAAGCTTCTATCTCATCACCACCCAAGCAGAGCACAGAGAAAATTAATAACTCTATAATTTATAACACTGTCTTAAGTTACTCCTCACTACAAGTTTGTCCAGTATCTTTCCAAGACAGACCATCTGAAAGTCAGAAGTTATGAAATATACCTGATTGACTAGTACCTGTAGAGGGTGAGTCTTTTTCATTACTATTCTTTCTGGAAGGAATAATTCTATCCATTACAGCAGCTTGTGTGGTGTAATTCTCTCCCTTGTCCCAGCCTGGATACACCATTGGGTCTTCCACTGAGTTGTTCTGTTTGGCCCCATGGTTTGAGGGCATAGCTGTTATGATGATGGTGAAGCAATTATGAACCGAGTATATAAAGATCCATTTCTCATATTATTCTCCTCTTCGGTTCTTGTCTCTATGACAGGCCTTGCTCACATTTCTACTACATTTAATGGCAAAGAGAAGTAAAGCAGATTTGCTTCTCATTCTAGTTTATGTTTAGAAAAGCTGCTTGCTGTCACCAATAAGACTGACTCCTTGAACATACGCTTTTCAGAAAGAAGATATCTCATTGTTTTTCAAAAGTATTTCCCCAAATCATGCTGATGGCTTTGTGTTGTTGAATATCAAACCAGAATAAACTGATGCAGAATTAAGAGCAGCAAAGGCAGAAATAACTGGAAGAATTTGACCCATCAGTAAGATTTTAATCACAGAATTTGAGTGTATTGATTATATACAATTTTTTCCCCTCAGAATTTCATATTTTATTAGCTTCATTATCTCTAGGAAAATAGACAAAGGAGTCTGACAGAGGGTAAAGCTAGCACATGCTGCAAATTTGCAAATGCTGCACATAACAAGACAGCATTCAACCAGAGAATAGTTGATATTGCAGTTATTTTGAAAAATATTATGATATCCTTATCAACCACTCTATAGCTTTTATTAGACAGTCACAGCAAAAGAGTATCCAAATTGTATAAGGAGCATTACTTTCCTTACCCCCCCAACTCAAAAACCCAAGAAAATTGCCTCAGTATGTCAAAATTTTAATTGCATATATGTCAAATTATATTGCTATAGTAATACGGTATAGTATTTTCATATATGAGTATTACACTGTACTGCATCACCAGATTTTTAAAGGATGTTGATGAAACAACTGGGGTTGATATCTTAGAGGAATGTGGACTTAGGGTCAATTAATGCAGTGGTCTACGCAAAACTTTTGCTAACAAGGTTACGTTCAGTTGAAGGAATAAATCCATGTTATACATCATCTCAAATAATATTTATGTTATGCTTGTTTTCAGTGACCCATGTTTGATGATGTGCAAGAGCTGATGCTGACTGTGTTAAATTCACTGTTGGCAGTACTTAGTCACATCAGTCATTAACTAGTAATCTTAGTACGCTCGCAGGAACAGAAACTGATACACACCAATTTTAAGTTACTATCTTTATAGTATAATTTGATCTTTTACATTTCAATTGCTTCAATCAGTAGAAGAGAGAAGCCTCTCTTTTATTTTACACTATGCTTTGTTTTCTCTTCATCACCAGTATCATCTTGTCATAGCTCAAAAGCAGAGTGAGTAGATGTTATAGGTAAGATAAGATTAAATTGAAATAACTCAGCTAAATAACTTATCTCATTTTAGATAAGTTATAGATATAATTGCTGTATTAACAAAAACTGAGCAAAAACCCCCACAGGTCCAATAATAACTTGCAAGAAGGGAGTTAACACATCTCCCAAATAAGTGAAAATAGAGCAGACATTATTCTTTCTCTGTTTAAACATTCACTGTTTCCTACAGATACAATCCCGGTAGATAGCCTATTAAAACATTGTGCCTGCATAACACAATGCAAAACATAAGAGACAGTTACAGAATTAATTTACGATAGGTCTTGACACACAATCCAAGTAGAAGAGAAAGCAAACCTCAGGAAAGGGTCTGTAGAATAATTAAACAAAAATCCCAAACATCAGAATTGCTCAGGTTTATTCACAGAACCTCCATATGGCCTCAGAATGCAAAATTGTTAGTAAAAAATAAAATCCTAAGCCTAACCTTTAATAAACCCTCATAGTTTACTAAAATGTGACCTGTAATATTACCTGTATGTGAAGATTCCTTTTCAACATAATTTTCAACTGTAACAGTAATTTCATATTGTTTAATACTCCCAGTGATATTTGCAGGATTTTGTTCTTGACTGATCCATCCAGAACGAGCACTGTGCAATAGTGGATGTTGGGTTGGTCCTTGATGATTTTCATTTTCACTTGTAACTAGTGTTGATAAGATGACGATTAAATCAGTAATGATCAAAATAGCCAACACCAGTCCTATTATTGTCACTTTCATCATCTATACAGGAAGGACGCTTGGATTTTGTATTTTGTCTTTTTCCTTCCAGTGCTACATTCAATGTGAAATAAAAGATGAAAGAAAAGGGAAGTCCTTCATAAACCCTATCACACAAAAGCATCACCAGGATAAGAAGAAGACTGAAGTGTGCTAGAAATTATCCCAATGACCAGTGGCAGAGAAAAGCTATAGGAGAAGCAGTGGAAGAATACAAATAAAGAAGAACTTGCACCTCTAGTTTGTAATTATTAATACTAACTTAACTGTTGAGTCTGTGTATTCTGTGTTTTTAAAAGTAAAAAAGATGATGCACTTTCTCTTTTGAGTCACAAGGCTGGCTCCAGTGAAATTGTTATTTCTTCTGGGACTGGATGAGTGAAATAAGTATGTTTATCTATTCAAAATTGAAAAGCATACTTGTTTTGAACTCAGTAATAACTAAAGCTCTTACTGATAGATTTATCAATGTTTACATAGCAGAAGGCGCAGTCAGAAATCACCTGAAGTACCACCACCATAAGAGATTTTCTAATAAATATGAAAAGACTTATAAAAGATGCAGTAAAAAGAAAAAAAAAAAGATACCTATAACATTAAAATGAGCATTAGAACTCAGTTTGAATTACATTTTCCTGAGGTATCAGATGTTTTCATGAGCAATATATTAACGACAAAGCAAAGGTCTTTAAGCAGAGCATACAAAGAACAAAGAATAAGCTGGACCTAGTACATATGACATGTCACCAGCTAGAGAAACTTTTGTTTCCCAAAGAGAACAAAACTGAAGGCTTTGTTCACATTCAGGCAATGAAATGTTCATAAAGAGGGCACTCATGCAAATATTACTCATCATTTTTGCAATTAAATCAATTACTTGCAGATTTTCTTGTAAAAAAAGCAAAGTTAATTTTAACTAATATATAAATACCACTGATTAACAATACTTCAGAAGTAAATGAAAGTTATCACAAAAATTATTTCTGGCTGATAAGTGACTGTATCACCTGTTCTGATGCCAATTGTGTAAACTTTCACTGTTCAAAACAGAAGGACAGGTATCTAGTGGCTGAAGGCAAATTGTAGAAATCCAAAGAATGTCTAAATCCACAGAAAATGTTTGGTTTTATAGAGAGGTAGAGCAAAGATAGGCTTGGAATGACAGATAAATGTTATGGATGCTACCTCTCAGGGTTCTAGTATAAATAACTAGGAAGTATAAATATACTAACTGAGGTTAATGGCATGGAAATTGCAACCAGCTGCATCACAACAATGTTATACTTCACTGAATTATTTCACAAATCTAAATATTATTTGAAATGCTTAATTGCTTTACCCCTGCCAGCAGAGCGAGGATATTGCTCTTCTTCATCTGTATGAGCAGGGTTCCAGTGATCTTGTGTGGAGATTTCCAGAAGTGTTTCATGTTGTGAGTCTGTAGCTGTTAGGACAGTGAGGTATTCAATACTAATCATGGTCCACATCTACCTCTATTACTCTACTGTTAGTGTGTGCCATAAAGATGATGGAGAACAGAAATTCATGCACAGCTTAACTATAGTATTTTTTTATCAAATCCCTTTACATCAAACCAGTTGTTCTTCTCTTTGCATTGGACAGATGCAAAGTTTCTCAAGAAGAATGGGGAAAATAAGCAGTAGAAGAAAAACGTATGCCAGAAGTAATGCAAACTTTCAAACTCAAGTTTGAAGAATAACGCTACACCTACAGATACGATAGATATCTGAATAGATACTGAGCACTCAAGAAGCGCTCAAATTCACGTTAGAATACTCACCACTAAGCTCAAAAGCTATGGTCAGCAAAAAACCCCAAAGCACAGCCACCAGGAAGCCAATTTTAGTCAAGAAAGTTGCAATACACTTAAACAGATAAAATAAAACTTCCGTAAGAGCCTATGAACAGAGACTCTATACGTTTTCACCCATGGAGCATGCAGAAACCACAAAGTCATAGAA